GGGGGAATCCACGGTTCAGGTTGTTCTTGATTCTTGCTACAACTTTTTGAAGGCTGGATAGAGTAAATCTAGCTTCAATAATCTCATCTTCTAATTTTTCCAATCTTTGTTTTTTTCCCTCATCGTTAGCCATTTTTCCCCCAAGGAATTTACTTAAATAGCACTAAAACATAATGACTTTCCATAAATAGCACAACATGTATTTTTCTTCCCAATGTAGCACTTTTAGTTATTATGCATTAGTCATTATTCAAGCAAATATTTGCCATCACTAAACATTATGGACATTATCAAGTACTACTTAGGGAATAAAATAATTTAAGTGCTATTTAGGAAAATGACTTAAGTTTTAATGCTATTTAGTGCAAATATTTCTTTTTTTCCCTGTCTCACTTAGCTCTCTTTTACAATTGTGATTTTTTTGATGAAGAAGAACCGCCTCTTATACAATCAGATTTTTCCATTTTAAGATAGTAGAAATTTCAAAGATTAAAGGTGATGGGCTTATTTTGGCAATTGTAAAAACCTTTAATTTTTTCTTCTTCCCCATATGACACATCACTGACTCTTCATTTTCCATCGTCCATTGCTTTGCTATTGAGAGAGAGAGAGAGAGATACAGTGACGGAGGAGTACGATTGAATTGTCAGACTCTATGGAGAAATGGGGCCGGACTAGTACTATTTCCAGCTGTGGCTGATATGTCCATTCAACTTTTATCATCAATTGTTGTAGCTAGTGCAAAAATTTATAAGTTCTCTCCTAAAAATCTTTTTTGTTTTAATTTTTTTTGTCAATACTTTTTTATCATAAATTGTGAAAAAAGTATATTTAATTATAATATAAATTCAATATCGGTGGGGTTCTAGTGACACTGGAGTACGATGACACTCTGATGCCACTGTCATTTTGGGGCACTTCCGGTGGTCCGTTTGTAAAATATTGCATAATAGCCACACACTTTGTGAGGGGGCTTACGGCGGGGTTGGAGTGGGGGTGCAGAGGCGGGGTGAGTGGGGGGTTTAGAGGGTGGGTTAGGGGGGCTATGAATCATCAATTTTACGAACGAAGTACCGAAAGTGCCCAAAATTACAGTGGCACCGCTAATGTCACCAAAGGTAGGTGTCACTAGAACCTCATCGATTCAATATAATTGAATTCATTTTAGGATATAGTTTTGATATACGGAGTATCATATTTTAATATCATTTCTTTATTTAAATGAGTTTAATGCACCGTTCCCCCCTGTGATTTCCTAAATGTTCACCGGTGCCCCCTCTACTTCTAAAACTTACTCCATCCCCCCACTGGTTCTAAAATCCTACTCCATTGCCCCCTCCGTTTCTAAATCCGTAAATTTTAACGGAGCGTGAAGGAAACGCATTTGATATGCGTTTGGTAGAGTATTTTGTCAGCTTTATGGCACCATTCCCCCCTGTGGTTTGCTAAATGTTCACTAGTGCCCCTCTGGTTCAAAAAAATTACTCCATGTACATGAAAATTTGAGTGTGCACCATCTGCCATCTTTTTAAGAAAGCTAATAGTATTTAAAATGAAAAAATCATAAAGAGTCTCCATTCTGTAAATGAAAAAAAATTAAAATATCATCATAGTTTGAGTTTATTGGTCAAAGTGT